CACACACACACACACACACACACACACACACACACAAACACACGTTCAAGGAAGTCTTTAGGTAGAAGGGAAATGAGACCAGATGTAAACCTGGGTCTACAGAGAGGAGTAACTTCCTCGGTGACTTTGTGATCCTTACCTTGGACTTCTGTGTCTGTCTTGCCATATCATAAGTTGAAACTTGAGGATGCTCTTGATCCAACCTCATGTTTTCTAACAAGGGCTATGTGACAAGGCATGAGGAGGAACACAATGATAAGGACCTGGTCCCTGACTGACGGAGGGGAACAGAGCTGCCTGATAAGCTGGACCACTTATGTAGAAAGTGTAACGGAGAGGTTAATAAAAGTCTATACTTCTTAAGTGTCTGTATTTAAGGGTTTTACTGGCCCTGAAGATTGACCTTTACCTTAATTAAAACCATTATTTTTAAAGCTGTTAAAGTTGTGTCTTCTACTTTAAGGTCTTCAGTCTATTTGGAATTTTTTTTTCCCACATAAAACAGTTGACCCAGAGCATCCTAATGGAAATACCATCTTTTTCTCACTAATCTCAAACGCCAACTCTATCACATATCGTCACCCATTGATGCACAGAAGTCTTTCTGGGCTATCTCCTTGTTTAGTCTGTTTCCCTGTCTAAGTACCATGAGCTAATTAGCTATGTTTATACTAAGGCTTAAAATCATATAGGACAAATATTCCGACTTTTTTCTTTTTCCTCAAATGTATCTTGGCTCTTCCTAGCGTACTGAATTTCCAAATAAACTTTAGAATCAGTTTTTAAAAGTAAGTGAAGAGATTATTAGGAGCTTTAGCTAGATCACAATAGTTTTAACCTGTCTTACTATGGGTTGATACAGGCAAAGATCTCCAGTCTTGTGACAAAGATTAATCTCAAAGTGGCTCTTTGTCTTAGCAACTATAGTGGCAATAGCAGACATGGTAGCAAAGGGGTGACACTTTGCCTGCCTAGTGGACATCTAGAGGTCAGATCTCCTTCTCCTCTCCCAAAGGCACCCACATTCCCCTAGAACTAATCTCTCACTCGGTCATTAGCTTTAGTTACTTTGGTGTAGACGATGTGGATACAGCTTCATTACTGTAATCACGTTTAAGTGTACATCAACTGCACAATGAGGGCTCCTTCAAGGCATGAACCAGACTATTTACCAGATTCTCAGAAGGTAAAATATAGAGCATTTAACTTACTCTTTAAGGTTTTCAATCTTGACTGACTCACAGGCTGAATTCTCCATAACTCCATTTTAATACTATGTTGGGAAATTTAGGCAATTCAATATTTATCACTGACTGAGTGCCTCCTTTGCTCCAGGTAGAATACTGAGTGCTGAATATTCAACAGTAAGGAAATAGGTACAAATACTTCTCGTGTGGGAAAATCCAATATTTAAACAAAATACACAGAAAGATGAATATTTAATTTATAATTGTGTTTAATGTTATGAAGAAAAAGATAGGATTTTATGTGAGAATAACTTGTGGAGGAATAATATATTTTCCATTTATTAGAGCATATTAGGTACAAATAAAACCTGATTTAGCTTGCAACATAACTGAATTTATATAGAAAGTTAAACATAGTTTTTTTCCCTATAATTTATCTATTTATGCATTTATTCCACATCATCCATGTTCACTGATACTATAATAGTCCATATATTGGGCTCACAAAAATGACCAGGACCCCAGTTACTGTCTTTGAGGAGCTAGTAGTTTAATGGTTTCCGAAGTCAGCAGTACCTCTCATGAAAATAATTGCATACCAAATGAAAACATAAATATATCCTTTTCTTTTTCCTTTTCCTTTTTAGATGAGGATAGGCATTCATTCAGGCTCTGTGCTGGCTGGAGTTGTTGGAGTAAGAATGCCACGATATTGCCTGTTTGGAAATAACGTCACTCTGGCAAGCAAATTTGAATCAGGAAGTCACCCTCGGCGCATCAATGTCAGCCCAACAACTTACCAGTAAGTGTTCTTTGGCTCCCCTCCCCCCTCCCCAGTCTTTGGCATCACCTTGTTTGTGCTAATATCCTGAGATAGTATAGAGAGTGTCAAAGTGAGGCTCTGTCCTTCTTCTTCATTCTGTCATTCTCTTAGATCATATGAGTAGATCCATCCAGTTTGAAAGACAGCAATTATGACACAAAATGTAATTTGCACCCTCAGAGAGCACACAGAAAACCTGATTTGATTGAGAGGTAAATATAGGTGTGTCATTTCCCACAGCCTCTGCCCCTCCCAGGCATCCCTATTTAAAAAATACAGGAGAGCAAATGTTAAGGATCTGTGTCACACTAGAAGCCCTGACATTTTCAGAATGTTCCTCGATGCTTATAAAAATCAGAGGAATAAGATAGAAAAGGTGGTTTTATTCTTTTGAATAATGAATATAAATTGGGACTCTCTGAAGTTAAATGTATGCTGGGTACAGACTAAAACTTCAAACTATCTTAAAGGTCATATTTGACAACTCTACACATTTTTGATGGCTGAAGTCATCCTTACTTTGTGTCTGGTAGATATCTTCTCACCCACTAGATATTAAGCTGCATGTGGGCAGAGATCATGTCTGTTCTTGTTCATTGTTACAGCCCCAGAACTTACAATGTTTAGCACATAATAAGCATGCTATAAATATTTGTTGAATTAGTGAATAAATGTATTGGTGAGATAAGCATCTCTAGACTGAGAAAACAGTATGAGTATCTCCTACTTGGTAGACTTTGGCTTAATGCTAGGCTTTGGTGTACAAGCTATTTCATTAGTTCCATGACTTAAATGACTTAGAAATCACATTGCAAAACTTTCAGTAGAAATAGAAATATCAACCATTGATGTTTTTTAATATGGTTACCAAAAAAAAAAAACCCTGAAATAGACAATTTAAATACACAGATAATAAATATTGATTTATAAAAACAAAAATAGTGATACTTTTGAAGCTTTTGATACCACATCTATATAGAGGGAAGTTAAAGTCTTTTAGATAAAGGACAAGTTTCCAGATTCCTGAGGCGCACATGAGAAAGGGGAAGAAATTACAAATATCAAATCAAGAGAAAGTTGCTTAAGAGCTACGTGTCATTTTTAGAGTTTTTATGTAAGAGTTTTGCCTCTTTTAAATTTCTCCCAATTTTTCTAACACAATTCAGGGCATAGTGCAGATGATCTGATCATGATTCCCACACTAAATGGAATTTTGGAAGTGTCTCTAGATCAGTGTAATTTGTGCTCTAGATCACAGGGTAAGGAAAATCTCCTAAAAAGTCAACCATCTCTTTTATATCCTTTTACAATGGTGATGACTTTCTCCATCATGGTGCTAATATTTATGTTTAATATTTGTGTAAGTAAGTGCAGTTTTTCAGAAACTTCATTTTTAAAAAAAATGACGTGTAAAGAGTGATCAACTGTGTGAGGAGTTCACACGCTGGGCTTGAAGGTCATGGCCATCGCTAGCTTTGTTTACAAGTGACCAATGAAGGATACCCCCCAAGCCACACAGCGTCTGTGCATTTGGGCGCTGTCTGAGCTTTCCTTCTTCACATTAGTTGAGTTTGTAATGACCTTGGTGATCAAGAAGTTCTGAAAAATTGAATCATTTCAACCACCACAACATTGAAACATTTTGTTCTGTTATGATTTGCCCCACTCCCCGCTCCCCCACACAACAAAAAAAAACAAAACAGAAGGAGTAATAGATGGGTACACTGAGCTGCTATCTGGGTAGACTGCAAAAGGTACTTTATGTGACTGTTCCCAAATCATGTAATTCCTACTAATATTTTATAAAAACACTATTATAAATATTCTGTTCTCAAAATAACCCCTTTCCTTTGTCTGTTCCTCCTTCCTTCTCTTCTCTCAACAAATACTTGCCAAGTACCTACTATGTTCCAAGCACTCTGATAGATACTAACTAAATTACAACAATAAACAGCATAAATATGACCTCTGCCTTCATGGAGGAAACCACAGACCAGATAGTGGATGTAACCAAGCAAACAATTTATTGCGATAGACTAGTGCTGAGGTCAAGAAAATCTGGTTAGAGTGTTAGAGCAAGCGGAAGAGTGGGCTGAAACGAGGATGAAGAGAGAAACTGAGGTCAGAACAGCTGAAGCTGGTAAGTCATGTTAAGGTAATGTAAGTCCGCTTAACCCTAAGGGCAATCAGAGATGTTGAGGAGGTTTCTGCAGAGGAGCGACTTGACCAGATTTGTACTTTAAAAAGGTCTCCAAGATTGTAGAAAGAAGAACAGATTAGCAGGTGGGAAGGGCAGCAATTGATTACCCCCAGTGACTGAAGGCAGGTGGTCCTATTCCCATTACCTTGATGGAAATGTGGCTAAATACTCAGACCCCGGAACCCCACGCCTTGGCTATTTCAGCTTGTCTTCCCGTGCTTCAGAAGAGTGACTGCATTCAGTGACCTTTGATATTCATTTCTACTTGAGATATACCTTTAAAAACAATGCACCTTGGTTCCTGATAAGTTTCCAGGAAATTAAATTTAGGGACGTGATCTCAGTGTGACTGGGTTTTCAGATTCTGTATCTGTTTGTGCCTAAGTACTTTCTGTTGGTTTTTTATACCCCAACCTATAGGCTTCCGCTGTGTATAATTGTTCTATTCCACACAGCACAGGCGATTTATGAACCCACAAGGGTAGAGCACACTTCCCTTTGCCAGGATGTTCAAAGTGGAACGCCAGGCTGACTTCTCAGGGATATGATCTATAAGGAGACAGACTTGAAATTTCTTAGATTAAATAGGAATTTGTGAAATAAAACTGAATATTAAGCTCATGGGAGCTTGAAATTTCCAGTTTTCTTTCCTGAATTAAATGCTGTAGAATGTCCAATATTGTCTGGTTATTTTGAAATCTTCAGAGTTTTATATTCAATTCATTTTTAGTAAGATTGTATAAATACCACAAACTTTGTGAGAGTGGATTATTTAGATGTTATGAGAAAGTGAAGTAAATTTTTTGAATAATTCATTCCAAATGCATTTTGCCTGAAATATTTAAGTACTTGATTTAAAAAATTTTTGATAAATATCTTGAAATACTAAAATTTAAAAGGAATAATGTAAAACCCATGATCCCACCACTGGTTTAAGACTTTATATTCGCTTCAGGTATTATTTAATCAAAATAACTAAGACATTTCCTTTGGGATTTTTCCTTTCTTTCATTGGGACAAATGCCCTAAAGAATTTGGTGTGTTTCAAAGTCCAGTGTTTTATCCATTAACTATCTCCTATGTATCCATAAACAATAGAATTTTACTTGTTTTAATTTGCCTAAGTGACATTTATTGTATGAGCTTTTCTTTAACTTTTAAAAAATGTCATGTTTTAAGATCTATCCTGTTGAAACATTTAGCTCTAGCTCACCATTTTAATTACTGTACACATTCCAGTACATGATTAGGTCATATTCTAATTTTTATGCACCTGTTCCTCTATTGATGAACTCTGAAGTTTTGTTTTTCTAATTTTTAATTATTTCAAAGTGTGTTTCTATGAACATTACTTACCAGTCATTACATAAGTTAAGCTAATTTACATTTCATGTGACTAAATAATTGAGTTTCCTAAAGGTTACTAGAATTGGAATAATCAGATGTTGTTTATATCAAAATTCATTTTGTACGTAAGGAGTACAATTCAAATCCACTTCATAACTTTTATATAATAATCTTCATTTTTTTGGACATCATGTTAGTCTTCTTGTTGCATGTGATAATGCCAAAGGACCATTTCCTCTTCACCTAGAGCACTTATTTTGTTTTATTTCTGGACAAAAATAAAATTTTCATTGAATTTTTTATTTTTCATGTTTGATGTTTTTACTTTTCTCTAATAAATGTTATGTTTGCACCCATCTTTGTTCCCACTCATCCGAATTTTAAAATAATGCACATGTTACAAACAACTGTGTTTTAACATCATGCTACTAATCTGTGAAGTTGAAATAACTGCTTATATTAAGGACAGTTTCAGCAGATTTTGAAATGGCATGGATAACCAAGTGATTTGCTTGAGCAGAATTAATTGTATTTCCTTGCTACGTGCAAACTAAAAATGTAGAGTCTGACTACTTTGATAAATAAAATTATCCTTAACCTTTAAGTATTTTTGCTTTTCTCATTTAAAAATTGATCTATTCTAGACTTTTCAGGATGCCTATTTTTCATTCACTATGAGAGGCCTCTTCTTTGGTTAAAACAAAGTTGCCTTCTGACCACTTTGTATAAACAGCTCATCACATCAGGCGATGTACAATGGAGCAGGATAGGTGATTAAGTGAACCAGAATCAGAGTTCCTAGGCTGAAATCCAGAATCTAAAATGTATTGTCTACGTGAAATTTAGGAACTTAATTTCTTTGGGCCCATATTTCTCATCTTTATATTGGTACCTATTTCAGAAAATTATTGTTAGGATTAAAGATGAAGTTTATAAAGCTCTTGATCCTTGAAACATAATAGACATTCATTTACTGTTTCAACATGTTTGTTCCATAAAGGAATAGACTATCTTATTTCTGTACTTGATTCTCACATTTTATGTTTATCCATGTTGAGTGATATGTGATAGTTGGATTACAGGCCTCATCTGACAATTCCAAAGAAATACTCAGTTCAGTAATTTGGCCAAAGGCATTTTGAGCTGACTCAGAACTGAGCTAGTTAGTAATCAGCTTATTCCTACAAGTTTTTATTAGCAAAGGTGTATTATTGATGACTAAGTCTTAATCATGTGATTAAAACTGGCTATTTTGATGGCAAATCCACAAATTTCAGCAGAGATGCTGTTGGGGAGAAATATTTTCCTCTATCCTTCCAGGGTCTTCTGGATGCTCTAAGAATTAAATTGAAATGGGGCAGATTAACAGGAAAAAATTAAACAAAAGTCTAATAACATGTATACATGAGAAAGATTCAGGAAAACTAAGTAT